ACTTCTTTTCTGAGTGGCAATGCTCAAGCCCGCCTGATTGCTGACATAGTTTAATTATTTCTGTTTGCAAATTCCTCCTCCCAATTTTTCTTATCAACAAAAGAAAGAAAAATTTTTCATGATATCCGAAAATTCTACTATTGGAGAGCCCTTTTTTGTTCAAATATTGCAGTGATCAGACTATATCAGAGATGATAATACCGGAAAAATGAATGGAAAGTATCCTTAAATTCGTGTCATTCATGGAATGTGGGAGTTTCACTTTGGAGCAAAACAAGACAGTGCGCGATATTAGAAAGTGCGTTGTATGGCTTAATCTTTTTAAAGATGCTCTATAACTATGTTCGTTCTTTTGATCGTTGTAGAAGGTTAAGGTAACATTTCGAAGAGACATGAAAATGCCCTTAAACAAGATCCTTGAAGTCGAAATCTTCGATGTATGGGGTCTGGACTTCATGGGACCTTTTCCAACATCATACTCTAATCAATAAATTTCTAGTGGGCGTGGTATATGTGTCAAAGTTGGGCAGAAGCTGTTGCTCTTGCAAATAACGATGCCAAAAATGTGAGTGAACTTCAGATCAAGAAAATATTTTTACAAGGCATAGCAGCTTCCTAGAGCGATAATCCGGACGGAGGTAGCATTTTGTGCAATAGAAATATTTTAGATTCCTCTGGACAAAATATGTGTCACTCATTCGTGTAGGTACTCCATATCATCCTTAAACAAGTGGACAAGTAGGAGGTCACTAACAAGGAAATCAAAAAAGATCTCGAAACCACTGACTGGACAATGCAAGGAAGGATTGGTCCAAAAAGCTAGCACAATGCTCTATGGGGCCTACAAAATGGCGTTCAAGACAGCCCATAGATATGTCTCCATTATCGCATGGTCTATGGTAAGGCTGGTCATCTTTCTTGGTAGAGGTTAACATAAGGCGTTTTTGGGGCCATTCAATTTCTTAACCTTTAAATGCCAAAGCAAGTGGGACCAAAAGCGCTTTGCTACAGCTAAGAGCTGAATGATGAAAATGCGCCTCCATGCTTAATGAAAGTTGGCTAAAATATACAAAGATCGCACTAAACAATGGCACGGAATTAAGCGCATAGTCATGAGAATCTAAAGTAGGGCCAGCAGGGTGTTGCTCTGATAAACTCTAGGCTCCTGTTATTCCCTGGTTAAGTTGCGCTCTAGATGGTCTGGACCACTTCCACAATCAAGGAAATCTTTCCTCATGGAGCCAATGGAGCAATTGAAATAGTGGATGGTAAGTCAAATCGAAGTTTCAAGGTAAATGCTCAACGTTTGAGAAGCTATCACAATGACAACTTTGAACCTATCAAGAGTACAATTGGTCTCATTTAGCCTAAATTAGGTTAAGTGCGTCGAACTTAACGACGTTAAACAAAAGTGCTTGTGGGAGACAACCCATATAATGTTCTTGTTACATTTTCATTCCATTTAACTCTTTTATTTTTGTTTTATTATTTGCAAAAATTCCCAAATTTTCTCCATAATTGTTCTTTTCTTTTAGTTAGAGTTTTTGTAGGAAAAAGTGAAAATCCAGAAGCGAGCATGAAAATCCAGAAGCGAGCACGCCCTGGCCGTGCCTTTTAGCACGCCCGTGCCATGGGGTGAGGCTCCAGCACGCCCAGGCGTGCCTCGCAGCACGCCCGTGCGTTTTTCAAGGGAAAAGCACACTTGAGAGTCAGAGAAGAGCACGCCAGATAGCACGCCCGTGCTGCCCACAGGCACTTTTCCACTTAAGAGGCAGAGAAGAGCACGCCCAAGTCGTGCTCAGTAGCACGCCCGTGCTACCTGCGCGACAATTCTCAGCCCAAAAGTCAGAGAGAAGCACGCCCGTGCAAGGTATGCTTCTTCTTTTGTTTTGCATGTCAGAGGAAAGCACGCCCAGGCCGTGCTTAGCAGCACGGCCGTGCCACGATCAGACCCACGCATTAATTGGCGCCCCTATTTAAAGAGCACGCCTTCAAACCCTCTCTTTTCCATCTCGCATTCAAACCCTCTCTTTTCCATCTCGCACGCCCTAGCCGTCACCTCTTCTCTCTCAAATTTTCTCATTTC